TTATTTGCCAAATCGATGAAAGGAATCCTGCTTGATTAGTAGAAAACAAAATTGGAGCGGGTTAAAACACAATTATATAAAGCAGGCAATATTATTAGGAATATTGACTCACCGGGGTGTCTCTCCTATGCTGTTGGGCACTATAGCTGCGACTTCTGGAACTTCTTCTGGACAGACACTCTGGGGCGAGACGGTGCGCGACTATATCTCACACGAGTTGAGGCGGGTCTCCTGGAGCTCGACTGCTTCCAGGCTAAAGCGGTTCTACTAGCGGTGTGGTTCCAACAACGAGCGCGGCGGGAAGAGAGCGCGCGTCGGTCGCGCGTGCCTTTTATTCCTTCGGTTGCGATGATTACGTGATATTCTAGAATCATCTTCTTTCCCCTCCCACCCCACCACCCCGATGTGTCGATAGGAGGGTATGAATGATATCGTTTTGGAAAGGGATAACCGATTTGGCAGCCTACCGTCAAAATAAATAAATACGAATGGTTTTCCGCGCAACCAGAAGGTCTAAAAAGAATTTTTCAACAATACTGGATATATTTTTAAATAACATCAAACCTTTGTCAATAATCATCAGTGTTTGGCAAATTCCAAAAAACACATGACTCATACTTTCATACACATACAAAACTGAAAGAAAATGTCTAAAAAGTGATCGACTTTCGTTAAAATATAAAGATATATTGCAGTGTCTGAGTAATATTGCATATCCTAGTGGCATTTTGTTTTCTACAAGCCTTCTAGTTACAATTGAGATGCAGTATTCAACAGGTAAGCATGTGAAAAGTGACTGCACATCAAAACATGTTGGTCATTAAATCGCTGACAAAATGGTAGGAATCCTTTTTGTGTGCTCTTGTAGGTTTGCTGAGTGGTGATAGTATTTTCTTTGAGTTTTGAGCAAATCTGTAAGTAGGGGGAATCGATTTGGCTCACTATAGGACGTAGTAGAGCATTGGGCTTTTGTATTTTTGGTAAACCATACAACATTGGTGGTTTGGTATATGTAGTTATTACTGATATTAGGTCCAGATTTATATTTTTAGTGTTACTTTATGAGGTCACTAGTTGTTTTAAGTGTGTTACACTGGAAAGTGTAAAAGTGTGGAAAGAGGAGTTCTATAAGCAAGAGGATGGTGTGACGATGGGCTCACCTGTATCTCCCATTATCACCGACATATTCATCTAATACTTTGAGGAGAAAGCCATGCTTGCTTTTGTCGTATATCAAAGATTCTACAAACGGTACGTAGGCAGCACCTTCACAATTCTACGTTCAGGTAAATTAACTGCATTTTAGCTACATTTTACATCTGCATCTTAACTCCATTCCATCCATTATAAAATTCAGTTCAAATGGAACTAGGGGCAAAACAATTCTTAAGCTGCTCTAGATTTGTTATTAATTTGAAATCCTGATAACAACTTTAGCCTCACTATTTATAGAAAAAGAACCCATATATATAGATAATTAAATAATGATTTTCACCACCATCCTACACAGTTAACTACCGTGGGTAAATCCATGTTTCAGGAAGCAGTATAGGGATCTGTGGCAGCAAACACTTGACCACCGAGCTCCAAAACGTCAGGCAAGTTTTGCATGACAACAAGCTTCGGGTCTCTTGTCTAAGTCACAGTGAACGAGTGAAGGTATTACTGCCACTATCTTATTATGACTGCCATATATCATAGGTGTCATTGATGCCAATAAAACAAACTTCATGCTGCCGAAGTTAGTCAAGTGTAATTACCCTCTGCAAGATGCAGGAGTGCACAATCGTGATCTTGAATGTTTTCTCTTTTCCATAGGACAAACTAAAAGATCAATAAAAATCCGCGTTAAAACCTATAATTGCTTTGAAGAATCGATGCTCCGGGAATTCTGCAATCTACAAACACCTACACGATCGCCCTCGTCACTACACCAGATTTGATAGACCACAAATCCTCCCTAAAGAATACCGATTCCTTCCAAGGATGATCGAATCGGTGGTTATTGAAATTAAAAAAAAAAACATCCTTATTCTAATAGAAAAGATGGCTGGGTTTAATTAATAAATTAATAAGATTAAATCCCAACCCAAGCAAATAACTGTAGGACTTCAAGTTACTATAAGTTCATACTGCATAAATCGGAACAAAAATTAATAATTTAATCTGGAGGTAGCCGTAGATAACAATGACATAAGGACATCGACAACCTCAGTCCCCCCCGTTACCATGGCTGCTGTTAAGTGTTCCAATCGTCGCGAATATGAAATAAGTTAATATACGGTATAAAATCTGTAAAAAACCAGTTTTACTTTAATGTGCAGTTTTCGTGCAAATATAAGAAATCATTATTTTCTTTACTTCTATCTATGTAAATTAATAAAATTATTTAATTTCATATGTTTCGTCTGTGAGATCATTCGTAAATGTTCGTTAAATTTTATTCAATAGGTTGTTAGAATTGTGAAAAAAGCCTTCTTTACTGTTTGTAGTATTGTATTTTTCATATAAATAATATTATACTCCTTTTGATTTTATTACCTATGAATTCAAATCACAATTTTACCTGCACTTAGGTAGTCGAAATAGTAGAATATATATGCAAATGTTCATCATAATAATAATCATTACAGCACCTCACAGGTCATTTGGTAAACATAGGTCTCTTCATAAGAATCAAGAAGAAATGTTTTACCAGGTCGTCAATCTATCGAGTGACATATTATTTTATTGTCATCAAACTTACATAAGTATGCCAAGTTTTAAATCAATAGTCAGCAAGTAATTCAAAAACTGATTACAAATTTTAAACCATATTACATTCGCAAAGAATGATTTAATACAAAATGTGTAATAGTCTAGAAGTTTCGTCTGTGAGATCATTCGTAAATGTTCGTTTAATTTTATTCAATAGGTTGTTAGACTTGTGAAAAAAGCCTTCTTTACTGTTTGTAGTATTGTATTTTTCATATAAATAATATTATACTCCTTTTGATTTTATTACCTATGAATTCAAATCACAATTTTACCTGCACTTAGGTAGTCGAAATAGTAGAATATATATGCAAATATTCATCACTGATTCAAAACTGATTACAAATTTTAAACCATATTACATTCGCAAAGAATGATTTAATACAAAATTTGTAATAGTCTAGAAGTTTCAATTGTACTATGTATCTCTAGTGAGTTTCTAGTATCATAAGCAAGAAACTTTAACTGCATTGTCAATTTTATCTTCCCTAAGGCAATAAGGTGATAGTTTTACTATCAAAATAAATCACAGAGTTCCGTACATGAAGTTTGAAACTAAGCCGCCAACGTAACTCGTAGTATTCTAGTGCGATATTCTATAAAATATTGCTCCCCAGTTAGTCGCTTGGATGCCTTCCACATGCACATTGCCTCTCTTTCTTTATTTATTTTTAAAATTACACTATTATTTGAGAATTATCCCGCCATTAAAGTGGAATAATGAAACTGATGTAAGCAACAGGTTGCAAAATTAAGCATAATATTTTTTGGTGGTTAGGTGTGAAAAAGTCAATAGTTGTTTTGATGAACAGCTGGGCTAGCGTGGTCAGGAGACAAAGTTTATATCCCCTGATTATATCCACTGACAAGGGATAAAATTGTCTTATCCCTATGACAAAGCTTTATCCACCCTGCGAGCATGGGCCTATGGTGGATATAATATCGACAGTAGATAAACTTATCCCCGCGCATAGATATTATATCGTAGTATAAAACGTTCAAGGAAACAAAGAGGAACGCTACGAACATGCCACGAAGCTGTGATGCTGACGTTAAAAATTTCGAAAAGTGGTAAATAATTATCTGATTACAGTTTACTCAGTGTCAAAATTTGCGTATTAACGAGACGCATCTAGTGGTGTAATTTTTATTAACCGCAAAATAATTTTTAGTGATTTTTAAGTTAAAAACCGTTTTTTTTTCATGTTAGCAAAACAGTAAACCGCTTGCGGCGCTCGATTAGTCGCCACAACCTGCTATTTTTTAGTGATTTTGTGCGCCACCTAGGGACATATCATCCTCGTTTGGAATTTTTGAATAAAGGACACCTGAGTTATTAGAGGAAAAACGAAAACCACGTGGTTGGTGGTTTCGCGAACAAGGATTCTGCGGCTGGAATTGAAGGTGTCACTTGCGGCGTCTCGGAAAGCTCTTTACGAAAATATATGCATCATCAGCCGGAAGTGTATATCCTCGGAATAACCACACTTTTTGCGGCTAGTGTCCCACGTCTTGTAAGTTTGTACTCTAATAACTTTTATTTTTGAGTAACGACCCCCCTTCATTTTTTGTATATAGAGGAGAGGACAAACTCATGCCCTTACTGTGGGTGAAATTTCAAATTTTTTAGGTAAGCAGTTTTTTAATAGTGAATTTTTTTGTATAACGTATTCCTTTTCGCCATTCCGTGATAAGTTTGTTTTACGTGTAGTGGCCAGCTAAGCTAAGCACTAGCTCAAAAAAAAGTAATAAATTGTCGTTCACTTCAATAGTGAGGAATAAATTGATTTATATCCATTTTACATTTTTTTTTTCTCTTATCTTTATTTCATGGCCAACTTGTTTTATTCTATATTTGTTATAACATCTCTGCACGTTGTTAATTTTACATATTGGATTTAGTATATCTATAAGGTCCACTTTCTTATTATCCTATTTTAATTTTGCAGTCTTTTTCCATGTTAAAAATTTTACATGTCAACACTAATTTAGTTGTAATATCCCATAGATAGAAAATAAAGAAGTGAAGTGTAACGCGACGTCCTGCGTGAGCGATCTAGACGCGAACGCGAAGCGGCGCGGCGCGGCGCGATAACTTCAAACAGTCGAAACCCATTGAAGTGGCCTACGTGACCAAACGCACGTGGGGAGCGGTGCGAAGCGGCGCGAAATTAAGCGAACGCGATCAGTTGGCTTGATATTTTCGCGCGAACTGGATGCGGTGTCGTCGTGTTTTTGTTTGGATAATGTCAGAAAATTTTATTAATGCTATCCAAGAACGTCCTATATTATGGGATAAAAGGAATAAAAATTATCACAACCGGTTATTATCGTACCGTGAAAGGGAGGATTTGGCCAAATTAACCGGGACTACAAGTAAGTACAACACATTTATTTATTATAGATTGCTATTACACATATATCTTTGTAGAGGATGTTGTTCAAAATACAATTTAAAGTTTTCTCTCGCTTGTGCGACTGCTCGTGATGTAGCATTAAATCTCCTTTATGAATTATGTCGTGGTGCTTGTGGTATATTTTGATATGCTTGCCGGAAAGATATAAATTCAGTCTCATTTATTGATTCAAGAGCACGTATAATATTGTGCAGTAAACATATGGCTTTTACGTTATGAACTGCATTTTCTACATTGGTTTCGATAGATTTATGCAAAATTCTGAATTTAGAGGTTATTGAACCGAAAGAACATTCCACTACCATTCTTGCTCGAGATAAGCGATAATTATAATTATCTTTTGCGTCCCCTTTAGTTGTCGATCTTTCTGGAATAGGTCTCATAGGATATTCTTTTAGAGGAAACGCAGCATCTCCTCGGAGAACATATGGAGCTTCGATATTTGAGCCCGGCAATACTTGTTCTTTCGGTATTTTTAGTCTTCCTTGTTCTATTGCACTTTGAAAGGGGCATCCATCAAAAACACCGGCGTCGTTTTCTTTTCCATAGGAACCGATATTTATCATTACAATCTTATAATTTGCATCAGTGACTGCTAACAACCCAATCGAAAAGAAGGATTTGTAGTTATAGTACATGGAACCAGTTTTATTTGGTTTTTTAATGCGAATATGTTTTCCGTCAATATACCCGATGTAGTTAAGAAACTGCCATCCGTCCTAAAACATTGTGCTAGGTTTTTAAAGTTATCTTCTGAAGGCTCGGGTATATGCTTCGTAACTAATTGTGTCCATATAGCTTTGCAAACTTGTGATACGATTGTGGAAATAGCAGATTTGAAATTCTGAACGAGTTGCCGGAACTAAATTAATTATTCATTTAATGTTTTAGGTGAAATGGCGAAGAAAAAATGGAAAAATTTGAGAGACACATTTATAAAAGAATTAAAAAAAATTCTGAACCTCGTTCTGGGGCTGACGCCGACAACGAGTCGAAGTATACAGGCACGTGGCCATATTTTGAGTCCATGTCATTCTTAACAGTAATTTTGAAACCCCGAAAAACAGAAGGAAACATTGTACCAGAAACAGATAGCAATTCAAGAGTCAAGATCTGTCGGAATCTACAGACGCTGCTAGTTTGGAAGACTATTTGGCCCTGGACGTGACTGACAGTGACTACACCCAACTCCATGAATCTATGTCTACGTTGCAAGAAATGCCACAGAATACAACAACAGATATTAACACATGTCAAGCGCCTTTGCCTTCACCCTCGTTGCCAGACATCACAAGACAAACACGCAAAAGAAAATATAATGTCCTAGAAGCATTCCTCGACATCGAGAGAGAGAAGATGAAAACTCTTCGCCAAGATCAAGATCGTCATCAGTAGTATCTACTGATGACGATCTTCTTTGGTTCAAATCCATATTACCTTATATACAACCGTCAATGAACAAATTACATTTTAGAACGCAAATGCAGGAGCTTCTACTAACGGAGCTGTCAAAATTAAATCCACCACAACCCGGTTCTCAACATGGATATTACATTTCTTTGTGAAATTATTAAAAACTAATCATTATTGAAATAATTAATACTTCTTATTGCTAATTATACATAATAATAAATATAAGAAATATTTCTTTTTCTTTTTTCTTACCTTAAAGTCACCATCAATCGGTCTTCTACAGAAATAGATCGCTGGAAATTGGTACTAGTGAACTGCAAAACATGTTTTATGGCTTGCACAATATAGTCAAACGTTGTAGGCAACATTCGACAATATTCCTTGAATAACAAGGGTTGTGCCCGTAATTCCTCATACAAATTGTGAAATTCCTCATAAATATGCCTTTCTAAGTATACAATATTAGTCCCACTTCTTCGTCGTACATACTTATTGAGTATTTGATACTTAAGAAATGAATTTTCCAATAATATTTGTTTCCATCCGTCCATGACAAATGCACAGTGCCCACTGAACGGCGGCGTCGTCGGTGGCGGCTGTGCGAGACAATTCGCGTGCACGTAGGACATAGCCGCCGCGTCGCACCGTATCGCATTGAATTCGCGTGTACTCGCGTTCGCTTTGAACCGCCCACCTAGGACGCCGTATAATGGCCTGGCCACGAGGATCGGCGGCGCGAACGGCGAAGCGACAGGCGGGGCGAAAATTCGCGCGGCGCGATTTGAGGGCCACGGGAAATCACGTTTGCCGCCGCGACCAGATAGGCCGAGAGGGAAATGTCTTTATCAAAGTTAAAAAAGTAATTGTTTTTTGATTCAAGACATAATATTTGGATGAGATTGCGAAGTACTTGATTTGAATAGGAATCGGGTTATAGATGGAGAATTCCCCAATACATAGATTGCATCTAGAAAAAAATTTCGAGTAAATACCAGAATGAGTGTTGAAACCTGCGATTATATTCTTGTTAATATTCAACCAGAATTAGAGATAAAAGTCAGTGCAGATAGAATTTTAAGTTGTTTTTGTCACCCCCGCATTTTTCGCGGCGAAAACAACTAAAATATATTGTTCCCTATACTATTCGCCGCGTCTGCCGCCGCGTCTGCCGCCGCGATTGCCGTCCGACTCCGTGGCTTGCACCGTACTGATTCATACATTTGTTTTAATCACCCGCCGCGCCGCCAGTTGCCCGTGGGATTCGCTTGGTAAATTTTGCCGGTCGCGTCGCCACTCGCCGCTACGCGTGGCATGCTTCATACATTTCTATACATTTGTTTTAGTCGATAGACTTTTCGCGAATTTTCGCTACGGCGAATATTCCGTGGCCAGACTGTAATATCCACTTTATATTTTTAATTAATTTAGTAGACTATATAGCTGATAAGTTCTTTTTTGTATATACTTATCTTTTTTCTCTCTTTTTTACGTTATTGACATAAATGTTTAAATTATTATTTCATGTCTTTTCTTTAATAATATACAATACATTAAATGTTACTATAGGTAATACATTACTGTGGCGACTAGAGACTACTGTAAATAATTAATGTAATAGTGTCATTGTAAAATAGTAAAATTGTAAATTAAAATTTATATAGACAGTGTGCTAACTATAGAAATATTCTATTAATTACTTATGTTTTTATTTTAATTTGTTTTGTTTTGTTTAGTTTTAAGATTAAGTTCATTTACATTAACTTATATTTTCTTTTACCTTTTATTTATTTATTTAATAAATAAAGGGTAAAAGAAAATATAAGTTTTCTTTTACCTTTTGTTATATTGCTAAACTGTTAATAATTTTTGTTAAACAATATGTCATTTATAATAATTGTAATATTTAGTTTAAGCATATTTTTGCCTTGTTTTTAGTTTTTCTATTATTCTAATTCTTTCTTTATTTTCTTTTGTATAATATTTAAGTTAAGTATACATTGCTTGTATCAAATCGCAGGCAATCTGTATTACTTCGCTTTTGATTGCATTTTTAAAAAAATATGTGTCTAGAATTAAGCCAATTGTGAAACTGGACAATACGGACCCTTTGGAGGTGCTGTAACCTCTGGAGGAAATTAAAAAATCTTATCCCCGCAATTACTGCCATTATAAGAAAATTACAAAATATACCTTTGGAGGTGCTATTACATTTGGAGGAAATTAAAAAATCTTATCCCCTCAATTACTGGCATTATAAGAAAATTACAAAATACATAAAAATTGATGTCTACTCTAAATCACAAAGATTTAATTTTAGTTGAAAATGATGAAGCATGAAGAATGATAATGTAATGATTTCAAACAAAAAAAAAAAGGAATAAATAATGTTATGATCATGAGTCTTGTGTTATTTGTATTTCTAATATTATGTATATTAGTCTTTAAAATATTTAACAATCTTTGATACCCCCTCGTGTGTACAAACGCCATATTCTGGCGTCTCAAATAAAATGCGCATATGTCAAACGCCATAATATGGCGTCGAGTGATAGCAAACTATTTGTAACATATATATGTTATATATAACATACATATATATCGTCCCCGTAGTTGGAAAATTAAATAACTCTGATTTTGTAGTTCTGAGATAAACGCGATTTAGTGTTTTTTTTTTCAGTTAATGTACATTTGTTAAAAAATGTGAGACAATTTTACTGTCGGTAATTTGATATTTTGTGGACCTGATTACCTTTTACATTATGCTTTAACAAACTGAACTTAATCTTTAACTATAACTAAATAACACATAAAAAAATCAAGTTGTTTAATTTTGCCACAACTGTTATTTATAACGTACTACAATTATCTACTTATTTCGGCTATTTATTTAGTTTTCCTACAAACTAAATACATTTGGTAGAGTAAAATTTGGTGAAATAAATGCATTTATTGAATTTATCACTCGAAATATTTTGAAATGTAAAATTTTGCGGCTTTGTACATTATTATTACTTCGATATTTTTTAACTATTATTGGTCTCATATAAAATAAAAGTTGTTTTATGATATTAATAAAGTTATATTCAGGAAGAAATAGAAAAGTACAATAAAATTTAGAAAAAGTGTATTGTAATCAGATACTTATCTTACCACAAACTTAAAAAAATAAACAAAATTACACCAATTATAACAAGTGGAAATAAATTAACTTAAAGTATTCTTTCAAATCAAAACAGAAAATAATTTGAACCCAAAAATAACATTATGGCTCTAAAATCAGACCTAATTATAAATGACGTACTTAAGTAGTAAGTAAAAAAACTATGAAAAACTTAAAATAGGTATCAATTAGATCTAAAAAACTTAAGTTTGTATCAAATCAAAACATAATTAAAACAATACTATAATCCTATTCTGTGTTAAAACTCAAAAAATTAAAATTGTTTGCACCTAAGCCATAGGTCAGTACTCAACTAAAAAATGAACACCAAAACAAAGGTACAACAATCATTATAAAACTTTCAAACGACTCAATTCAACTAAAAATATTTCGTAATAAAGTAAGTAAAACACAACACTTAAATAAAACTCAAAACTCCAAAAATAATATGACACTAATCAAGTCCATTGAGTACACCAATCAACAACTTATTCTAATATCAATTTACTTAGAACTAAAAATACTTTCATAACAAAATAAAACATAATTTAAATTCAAAACAATTGAAATGGCTGTACCTAATCAATACTTAAATGTAAACTTGTAAAAAAGACATAAACATAGGTACCCATTCATTCAAACACAGCGTAAATCCCTTTAAAGTTAGAGTGAACAGGCTCCTTCTGGGTAAGCTCGCTCCATCGTAGACTTTGTCTGTCATCTCTGACCAAGACTAGAGTCAAGAGCAAACACATCACAAAAAAAGTATAATTTAACAATGTAAAAACCCTATTGTAAAATCATTTTACTCATGCTGTTAGGGTTTAAAAGTTTAGTTTAGTTTTCAGCAATATGTAGAGCAAGGGGCCAAAATAAGTTTACTCATCGACTTCAGATGAATCAGTGGAGCGTGATGGACCCTGGTCTTCTTTTGAACATAGTAAACTTTCGTACCAGCCGTGAAGCTCTTTTGGAATTATATTTTTCTTACAGAGCTGTAAAAGGTCTTTCTTTTTTTGTTTTGTTATAGGAAGACATTGTTTATATGCCCGGGGAAGATCTTCAGTATTTATAGTTGGCATTTCAGAGTTTGGAGTTCTCCTAGTCGGTCTCCCTGGTTTACAAAGAGTATTTAGTAAGTTATATGGCCCATCGTAATCGTATCTGTATTTAATAAAACCAGGTAATTCTTTTTCATATCTAAGATATTTTATATTCAACCAGCACACTTTCTCCCCATTCTCCGCTGTAGTTTTGTTTTTAATTATTTTCGAAGCAAGTGCTTTTACATCAATCATGTCTTGATATGATAATTCAGTTACATTATATGGAGTTACATTTTTATTTTGTCTTTTTGATCTTGCGCGTAGCATAATTCCCTTCCAATCTATTATAGAATACGTGTCTGTGTACATTTTTTCTTTTTCTATGGCACTATGCATTGAATCTACTTCCATAAAACTATGACCACTTTCTAGATACTTCTGTTCTAATACTTTGATTGTCTCATGCGTATGTACTAAGTACAATAAAAATGCTGCTATGTACCGATTTCGGTTTTGTCCCGAACACGTGTCGGAATAAATGGTGACGTGCGTTAAAACCTCGAGGAGATTCTTTATCCATAAATGAATAGCAGATGCTATTTCAACACTGCCTCTTTTGCCGTTTATTTCCGTCCAGATCATACAGTGAGCGTCGTTCTGTGGAGGTTTAAACTCATAAATAGATAAATTATATAAATTTAATTTCCTGGAATAATACATTAGACTATCTGCAGTCGATGGAATCTGCAGTAGACTTTGCAAGTCCATGGTGACACACAAATATGATTCATCTTCTCCCGACTTCTTTTTATCCAGCTCTTTAGATCTATAAGATGCCTCTTTTCGCTCTATATGTTAAGTATACTCATTTTGAATATTTATATTAGTTTTATCTTTTTTGTAATTGATACAAATGCTACATTGATCCTTCTTGGGGTGATAGAACGCTAAATTATATTTTGTACCAAACACTTTCTTATAAATGTTTAATTTTACTGGCACTTTATTGCTTTCTTTCATTTTCTGCACATACAAATCATACATTTTTGATATTGACAAGGTAGGTTCTAAGTATTTCCTGGTTGTTTTTTTTTTCTACAGCAATGGGAATCAATTACAGGAAAACTTTCAATGTGATTTTTTACCTCTTGTATCTGTTCTCCAGGAGTTTTGTTTGCAGGCGCTTGTCTGCCACGATTATCCATTTTTTGTAAATACACCATGCATCCACACCCTGACCAGTAGAAATGCAAAGAGTGGACATAAAATAGTTCTTGCATACTCGTTCATATACAGTCTTATTTTTATAGAAACCGTATTCTCTGCTAGAACTTCTTTGTTTTTCGATCGGTTCAGATTTTTTTGTAGTCTGCACTGGCTTAATGATGATGCGCTTAAGCAAAAACTCATTTTGCAGCTTAAAATCTTGTATAGACCAATAGGATTTGCAAAGTTTCTCACGCTCGTTTTGTGTAAACTTTTCTGAGCATTTCTGGCGACAATTTTGGCTGCATTTAGGACTTTTAGGTAGTTTAGCTGCAAGAAACTTTCCAGTTTTAATAAATTTAAATGTAAATGGCAAACATTTTCGTTTCTTCTCCAACTCTTTATTTCTTTTCCAGTTTGTTTGATTAGTATTTTTCCATCTGTAGATTTCTTTTTCCTTATTTCCTGTTCCTTTTTCTGAATCTGTTGTCTCAGTGATTGTGATATTGTGTTCCATGACCCTTCTATCACGGTTAACTGGCGAGACTGGGTCAATAGGAGTTTCAATAATAGCGCGAGTTGCTATAATATTACCTGTTTCATCTTCAGAGTCACTCGACAAAATGGGGTTTATTCTAAATCTACCTCGCGAATCCATTATTGGTCACTCTGACGTCAACGAAATAGAAGGTCACGTATTAGACTAAAACGCACGACACGCGAGCCATCCATCAAACCGCACCCGCTCACCCCCGAGCTCTCCGTCGTCGTTCCCGAACAGAATATTTCGCGCAAAAATCTCTTAAAAATTTAATGATGACTTTCCTCAGGTGCATTTTGTTTTATCGCAATTATAAAATACTTAATTTATTTAATTTTATTTGCCTAATATCTTATAATTAATCATTATCTAGTTGTAGAAGAAATAGATAACATCAAGTATTTATAAATTATATCGTTATATCAAAATTCTGAATAGCAGAATTAAATAAATAGAGTTATTTAGTTTTCCTAGAACTTAGTTTTGTGAAAGAATTTTGAAGTTGAAGAAAAATTCAACAACTCATGTTATTTAATTCATTTGACATTCAACTTATCATTGACTACAGTTATTGATTTATTTACTGAGTTATTTATTTTTCCTTTAAAAAAATAGTGTTTGTCTGAAGATATTTATTATTCCATCTGTCCGACAAAAATGGCTATATTTTTGGAACGGAATAAGATAGGAAAACGCCTGTAAGGCTCAAATATGCGGCATGTTTTAGGTGTTTTGAAAATACGGAAAAGTCAATATCGCCAAAATCGGACTTATTTAATTTTCCAACTACGGGGACGATATATATATAACATATATATCTGTTATGCATAATCTGATAGCTTATTTAATAACGTTTCCATTGTATACATGATTTTAATATACTCACTTAGTATATATATATATATATAAATATATATATATATATATATATATATATTTCTTAGTATACTTGTTATATACTTACATAGTACTTCGGAAAGTGCTCGACAGATGCGCCATATTGGCCAAAATGACCCCGACATTCGGGTGGATAAAGAATTAACATATGTCTTAATTTAAACCTTTGAATTGTATCTTTACTAAGTTTTATAACTTTATTTTAAAACATTGTACTTACCTAAAATATAGTATAGACCAATTCTATTATCATTAAATATGACTTGTCTGTGGACTCGCCTTGGGTATTGTTGACACAACCTATGTAATTAAATCATGGCATTGAGCTATTGAGCAACAATCTGAAAGGTTGTAGAATCTTTAACAGGGGCGACTATAGTCTCAAGGGACCACCTGTAAGCAATCTATTGTAGCACACATACATTACATACATTGTTTTTTTTTTTGGGAAAGGGGAATATTAAATGAATATAATATTCTTTATTTAGAAAAAAAAACTTGATTATTAGGTTTTAGGTTTTTTAAAAACTATAACTTATTTTATATTACCAGTTGAACAATTTAGATTAGAATTGTAGACCCTTTACTTGTACTAAACCCCAGTCTGGGATGGTAGGTGAAATATATCAACATGGGTGCAGTCAGTAGCCCTAAGAATATCTGGCAGACCATGCTCTGCCAGGTATCCTCTAGCTACATTTCGCCTTGCTTGTTATATGCCCGGAAATGACATTCACTGCAGTATTAGTCAAAAATAAAATGAAAGAATTAGATGCACTGAAACTTGTATTTACCTAGACAAGAGACTTATTAAAGTATATTGCTCCCCACATTCTAATGATGGCCCCAACAACTTAGGTCAAGTATTTGCTGATTATTTGTTGTTAGAACAACAGCTATTCATGGTCTTGCCACGTACCTCTCTAGCAGGTAACTACCATCTGCCAAGAGACTGAAAGATGTAAACTAACTACCTAGAAAAAATATTAAGATAAGTTAGCCACATATTTTGATTGCAAATATACGATGTTTCTGGACAAGGTGGTTGTAATAGAATCTTACTTCAATATGCACTGGTAGTCCATCCACAGAATTAATAGGCTTTAAAGCCTCATAGAGTTCTTTACACAAATACAAAACACACTCTTTGAGCATCCGAAACCGGCGTAGAAATTCGTTGTCGGGGAATTCCAATATATAAAGTATTCTGATCACGTATCGATCGCCAATGTAATTTTCTTTCTTGTTTTTAATTCCTGACACGAAAATGTAGTTGCAATAGGCTCGAGACATATTTTTTGTATTAAAATGGTTTGAAGATAAACTTAAACCCACGTCCACGAAAGAGGATAAAATTGTCCCTTTCAAATGTCAAAAAGGGATAATTTTTTCTCTTTCCTCTGGCCCCATGTAACGGACGGAGAGCTATAAGTCTACTCGTTTCTTATATGAATAAGATAATTTTATCTCTTGTCAGTGGATTATAATTGGGGGATATAATTTTTGTCTTCTGCCCATGCTCGCAGGGTGGATAAAACTGAGTAAGGGATAAAATTTTATGCCTTCCCCGGTGATATATTCTCTCCTGCCCATGCTAGCCCGGCAGATGAACTCCGTTTTATTGATTCATTAAAAAAAGTTTATAATCTAACATTGGTTCAATTATTCAAATATGTGAGTTAAAATAATTTTTTTAACATTGCTATTATAAATGGCGTGTACTGAAAAGTTGTGTCCATTGAAATGAGTAGTACGTAGTAGAGGTAGGCGTTAGGTAGTAGAACCAATACGTCAACCCAGGCCTGGGTGCTCTCCTGCTCTTAGCATGATGCAATTTTGCAGGAATGACCAAACTATGGCTGATTTCTGCCTCCGATATTAACCAGAGATGAAGGAATAAAAATTCCCATACCCTGTAGCATCACATCACCGACAGAATCAGCAACAATGCTGGAAGCCCGCTCTAATGATAGGATGGAAAAAAATCGCATTCCGTTTCATGCCTAACACGGTAGCAACCTGCAGAACGCTACTGCGATGTGAGCGTGATTTTCACCATACTCTACATCAGAAAGTAGTCCGAAGACCCAGGAGAAGCATCAACGGAGACCTGATATTCGTCCAGATGAGTGGTCGGCAGAAGGTCCAACAGGCAAGGTACATAATCTGTTACATTTGTGATCCGCGTAGGTGAGGTAACCAGTTGTATTAGACCATATACCAAAGCAAAGTCATAAACAGATCTACCCGCATGATCGGTTAAACGGGAACCAAGCCATTCAACGTAGTGACCGTTAAAATTATCAAGCATCATGATCTCTAGATGGGATCTGTTGCAGCACAAAGTCTGCAGATATTTGGATGTGTTAGATGAGTCGGTCTGTATCGGCATTACCGCCATTGGGCCTATAGAGGCACTCGCGGACGTGGGGGTTGTCGTCGCTGACTATGCGCAGTCATATGATGGACAGCTCCGTACCTTCGTGGTTGCCGAGGCATAAAAATAAATGATAGTGGACGGCATTAAGGTTTGATTGAAGTCCTCTGATGTTGCAGAAGTTCACGGATAGCATGGCAGAGGGTGTTTTTGTCCTATTGCTCAGTGTGCCCCGAGCAGGCTTAGTATCGACCGGAAGTTCCCCCTCCTTCTCACCCCAGAATACTTAGTGCCATAGAGTAGGGCAGAGTAGGGTAGTAGGGCGTGCGATTTTACGTGACCTGGGATGCTGGTACCCTTCTGGGTTAGTGTTCTAAATAACTCCACTACCATATTAATGGGAGGGGGTGGGAGATTAGGTCTCCAGCCACTTGCATTCACCAGACGAAATGCATACGCAGAACTTCTACTTCACGCTGTTCTTCTGTGAGGTCGTGGTATCACCCGGGTTTGAGCCGGCCCATACGTGTATCAGCAATAGCTGCCGCGTGGCTCTACCACTATTCTTCTATTATTTTGAAATATTATTTATTTATTATTCTAACTTCAACGAAGTTCTTCAAGCTTAAATAGACGTTATTAACTTATCATTATGATGAATAAATACAACTAAAATAGGACTTACAAACGTTTATTAATTTTATAGATACATAATATAAAAAATGTAATAGTTTTAATTAATTTGCTTGTAGCCCGTTTGTTTTTTAATTATTATATATGTGTAACATAACTCAAGGGACTAATAGTTGGAGGTTTTTAACTCTTCATGTGAAGTTCAGGAGCGTATTTGTATATACACGTCACTATTTCATTGCCGAGTAGGCACGGAGTCACGTCTTCATGATTCACCTAAAACATTCATGATTAAATAACAAAAGTAAAACACTTAATAAAATTACTAATTAATAGAACTATTTTAAGCAATTGATTTTTTATAAAATCCAAGCTATAATTACGTAAATGTATGTACATTTCACCCGATGTGTCAGTCAATAAAATGTATTATAAACCAAAGCATAGATATCTTTTCAGCGTTAAAAAAAATTAAGTCGTAGTCAATCTTCATCCTTATTGGTGACAACGATTCTTAATTGAGGATAAATGAAGATGCCTATGAGCCACACTGCCTCTTTTCTATTTAAAAAACGTATTTAGATATACCTTTCTGCCAATCTAACCAAACTTTTAATCGTACATAGATAGGCTAATAACTTAATAAAACATGGAGAGTTGATGCATGCGGGTCCCGTAAGAAACCGTATTTTGTGGTATTACTTTGTAGATGCCTATTTTTATTAGCTGACTTGTCAAAGGCTATAAAGCTTTAAATGATAATGATAATAATGAACCAAAACTTACATAAATTAACTATGCTCCTGTTATAAGCAAAATAAATCAATATTTACAAAAGTATAGCCTATATTCGGCCAAAGTTAGGTCAGGCCTCCAGTCATTTCTTAGAAACTTTTGAGCACATAAAAATTCTGTTTATCAGACACTCATGTTCCTTCATGATATTTTCTTAACCGTCAACACGTGGTAAATTAGTTAACATTAGTAGTTCATTTTGATTGCCCATATAAACCAAACTTCACTTGTTTTTAACGGAACGTCTTGTTTGAACAATTTAAGACAAAGATTCTCGTCATTACTAAATGTTAGTATTTTTTTGTAGACTAGGAAGGACTCATCTTCTGCCTAGGAATACATCTGGGTAACCATCCTCTTGCCTATTTCTACCGCCAAATAGCAGTACTTGCACTGCCGTATTCCGGTCTGAAGG